AAAAACACAATTTTGATCCTGAACAATTTTTGAAAATTACTTTATAGGAAACAGGCCTTGATCAAGAAGAGAGGTAATTAAAAGCATTGATGTTATCGATTGATCCTTGATTGGACAGTTTTAAAAAATTAAACAATGATACTGGTGGTTATACTGACAATTTGTGTTAGTTACCAGCTATACAGTCAATTAGGAACATAATAATTAAAAAATGTCACATTTATCTATTTTTTAACAAATTTTTAATTTTTTAACAAATATTTTAATTTTTTAAAATTTTTTTAAATATAGACTAGTGAGCAGCACTTCTGTGAACAGTAGTTGTAAAACTTCTCTTAATTTCCAATGCATTTCATCTAACTGTCATAGACTTCTTCAGGGAGTTTTACGAGTATAACTAAATCCCTGTATTTATAAGCCAAATTAAGTTGTGGGGGCCAATGACCATTGGGGGCCACGGTTTTAGCTAAAACCACGGCCCCCAAAATATTTTTCTCACCTTGCCTTACGCGTGTTAAATTTTTCGCAACTTCGCCTGTTCCTGTTCGTAAGTCCAGCCAAGCCTTTATGGTCATCGTCCCCCGTAACTTTGGCTTATAAATACAGGCGTTTAGTTATACTTGTAAAACTCCCTGAAGAAGTCTACGACAGTTAGACGAAACGCGTCGGAAAATAAAAGAAGTTTTACAACTACTGTTCACAGAAGTACTGCTCACTAGTCTACATTTAAAACTTTTTTTTAAAAAATTAAAAAAAAAGTGCTTACACACTTGTCAGACAGATTAAATCTGTCTGATGAGTGTGTAAGTATGAAACTCAGAGTTACAGAGAATAATGCGTGTTTCATTTGAGTAATTTTAAACTGTAATTATAGCAGGGCTCCCACATGCGCAAAGTGTGCATTGAGGCAGAGCCCCATACCCATGGAATATGGTCAACCTCTTTTCGTTTGGTGACTGACCGAGTGTACATATGTGCCTTCAGATTGCACGGGTAGGGTAGGGGAGACTATCAAAACAAAGGGAGGGGTGACTTCTCAGGCAAGTCTTGGTAAATGCACATCTTTTATGTTATCATTAATATTACGAACTTCGGAGCTCTGCTTTTAGGCTTGGCTAAATTTATATATTATATATGCGAAGTCTGTTTCAATTTTTCTGTAGTACAGTGCTTGATACATAAAGGTAGAGCATGATATTTGTCGAGGAAGGAAAATACGTTGTCTGTTTTTCCATCAATCTGTTTGTTGTTGGAGGTTCATACTGTAGTGTGTAGAGGTAATGCAACAACGTCATCTGGTATAACCCTCCATTTGGCAAAAACACCAGCACCAACATCGGATACAAGTTCCTCGCCCTAATAGACAAGCATTTCCCTAAAGATCACCAGCTCCAAAAACTCTTCAACTGAAACACCATAAAAATAAGTTACAGCTGCATGAATAACACCAAACAGATAATTGATAACCACAATAAGCAGTTTCTAAAGTCATACACGCAAGTTAATGACACCGCCACAGCTAACCCTAATACCACTCAAGACAAGAAGACATGCAACTGCCGACAAAAGAACACATACCCACTCCAAGGAAACTGCCCACAATCATCAGTGATCTACCAAGCTACAGTCACACGCAATGACAACAACACAACAGAAACATACATCGGACTCACGGAAAACGACTTGAAAACAAGATATCGAAACCATACCACATCATTCTGCCACTCTAAACACAGAAACTCAACTGAACTAAGCAAGTACATCTGGACTCTCAAAGACAACAACATTGAACACTATATTTCATGGTGCATCCTGTCTTCGCATTCACCAGCTCAAGCAAAAGATGCAACCTCTGCCTAAAGAAAAAAATTTCTAATCATTTACCGACTGAAACTTTCTACCCTCGACAAACTTAATGAACTCGTGTCTTCTTGCTGCCATAGAAACAAAGCCCTCCTACTTAACAGCTGAACTGTTAAACTTCGTGCCGTATAGATGAGATATATGTTTATTATTGTTATTATGTAAATTATTTTGTAAGAATAGTTAGGCAGCTAGATAGTTGGTTAGTTAATTAGTTGATTAGTTGCTGAGCTAGTTCATTAGCTCGTAAATTAGTTAATTCATTATAAGTTTTAAAGTTTTTACTCTGATTATTACAGACTACCTTATTAGCTAGTTTCTTCAACTCATGTTTTAGAGATTTTTATGGTTTTATAATTTTATCGGTGCGATTTATAACATTGCTGTACAGCGCTATTGAATAGTGATATAAATAGTGCTATATAAATACCGTATTATCAGTATTTATTATTATTATATTCTTATTAAATCTCCTGATGAGTGGGCAACCATGAAACAGGTTTGTCGGGATGAAAGCATAGTTTATTTGTTTCTTTCCTCCCCAAACATATACTTCGCTCTACATTAATGTATCGAGCACTGTTTACGAATAACTACACTCTACACTTCATATATATATATATAAAT